AGGTTATCGCATTCAGGTTTTGCAGTAGAGCTTTATGTATTTTAAGGGCTCCCATCAAGTCTGTGCAAATAGTTATCGTCTCATTGCAAACATTTTTGTATTTCATCTTCAGGTGGACGGGGGAAGCAACGACATTGATAGTTATTAAGAAAGGCCTTCCTAAGATACAATTGTAAACACATTTATAGGGGACCACCAAAAATTACACATCTATCGCCCTTGTATTTCTTCCCTCCCATAAAGTAGTCATAAGCTCTATGAAGCCCCATGAGTGGGTAATTGAACCATTGATAGCCTGCAAACTAATTCTCACTTGGGGTGATATCTTTTTCTTCTTCAATAATTGTTTCTCAAAAAATTGGCATACATAATTTCGCATGAGCTCCTCCCATCAATTAGTATCCTTGATACCTTGAAATTTGTTATTGTGGTTGTAACTACCAATGGAAAGACCTCAATGAGAATGCCTCCCACTTTTTCTTTGTCTTTAAACTCTAAGATGAGCCTCTCGTGAGTCTATGTCTCCCTATTCCTTTTCACTTCCTCCAATTGTGCGACCAGACTCTTTGAAGTCCCCGTGGAGGTTGCTTTTCGGTGAGGTAATCCTCTAATGATAGAAGAATGAGTGATAATTTCCCTTGTTGAGGGCCTCTCAAGGTAGAATTCTTCAGATTTGTTTCATGATAACCATATTATGGTGCCCCTAGTTGAGTCGGGATTAAATTATAGATGTTTGTAAAAAGTTTATTTACAGATTACATCTCGAGTGCAAATTGGATTTATTGGTGGTTTTGAGACATTTATGGCACTGAAAATTATTACTATGGCGGGGTGGAGGTTGCTTGATGTTTGACCTTGAATTTTTTCTTGAAGGGATTGAAATGATGACAAGACTTGGAAAGTTCCTTGTCCAACCGGTTGAGAGGTTCGGGTCTAGTGAAATGTAGCAACTATATAAGTCATCGAGGTTGGAACACCTACTTTAGGATAAGGAAGTGGTTCCTCATGTGTGAGGTGAAGACCGGTTCGACGATGGTGTGAAGCACTTGGAAGGATGAGCGCATGTCAGGTGTAGGGACAACCTTGTGATGAATCACGAATTGAGTCCCTTTGGATGCTACCATTACTGATTAATCAAATAGTTAACAACGAATGGATCAGATAACAGAATAGATGCAGCGACATGATAAGGGAAATTAGAGAAGTTTGGTGTGGAGTTTCGTGAGAATCAAGAAACATTTCCCACAAAGACATCACTATTCTGGTGTGGAGAAGAAAGTAGGTAGTAGGTCGGTGAAGTCCAACATGGAAGGTCTCTAGCACGAAGATGGAAGTCTCTAATAGTTGGAGAGGGAGTTTATCGTTAAGGTTAGCACTCCTACGCTTAAGTTAGTAAAGTCAGAGAAATGAAACTTACAAGTATGCAATGAACTGTACTTTGGTGTGACAAAAAATCACATATATAATAACCACAATTAGAATTGTACCTGGAGAACGCGACACCATGAGCGGGGACTGTTGGATGGACCCAAACACTTGAGATGGAGCACTGTTTTGCTTTAGTGCAGGCCTCCCCAACAAGAGTACATGTGTTCTCTAACTTGAGTGGACATGGAATTTGGATTGATTTTTCAAGTTAGGCATATTTTATTGGACTGTTTGGCCTACCCGAAACACTATTTTTGTTTATTGTGACAATAAAGCACACTTGATATGTTAAGCAAGCTCATAGATACTAATCACTTCTTTGTCAAAGAGAGTGTCAAACAAGCACATAGATATTAATCACCTCTTTGTAAAAGAGAATGTCATGAACAAGCAACTTGTTGTCCTTCACATTCCAAGACAAAGTTTTTGGAAACTAGAGACAAGATCAATGGACTACTTCAAGTTTAGGCAAACAACCATACTGATGCTGTGAGGGGTATATATTAGAATATTCTTAATTCATATACAATACTAGATATTATACTTTTTCTATTTTATTTTTAGAATTTGCTCAAAATGTTAGTGAGGAGTATATAGTAGAATATTCTTACTTCATATACAATACTAGATATTATACTTTCTTTATTTTATTTTTAGAATATGCTCAAAATGTTAGGTAAATGGATGTAGGATGACTCTGATAAAGGTGTCAAATAACAATGGATATAAATAGGATATGAGTCATCTGACTTTTGGAAGGGAAGTCTACATCTCTCTCTAAAAGCCTTCATTCTTAAATCATGGTTTTCTCTCTTTCTTCTCTTTCTCACTTCTCTTTATCAAAATTACCTAAAATCACTCAAAATTATATAATTTTAAGTTAGAGAATCGCTTTCCATATAAATATCCTTGTAATCAGTACCATTTGTATGACACATATACAATTCTCCATTGTTTTTTATGAAAAAAATTAACTCATATCATTAATAAGAAGTTGTTGAACACAAGTTGGAATATCATTAAAAAATTGAAAACTAGCAAGAGATGAATTCACCCTTGCCAAAATATGAGCAACTTTATTAGTTTATCTCCTAACGAACTTAACACGAGAGTTCATTCCTTGATGATCTCACCAAACTCTGTATAATTCAGATGTTGGTTATTCATGTTATCTTCTACGCTTTTAGAGTCTACCTCAAAATTCACGTCATCCAAATCGAGCTTATATAACCATTTGATTGCTTCTAAAAGGCCTAAAGCCTCCCCAGTAACCACCTCGGTAGTAGATGACACCCACTTCGTTCGAGCTACCACAAATTTTCCCTTTTCATCTCATACACATACACTTATTATTACCTTATTATAAGCCATAGAGAAAGAAGCATTTATATTGCATTTTAGACGACCTATTCAAGGCTTACTCCATGTGCTGATCGAAGAATTTCTATTTTGGTTAGAGGTTCTCGATTGGAATTGTTGTGCATTTCTCCATCCCATAAGCAAGTAAGAGGCACGATCATAAATTGTTTCTATTGAATCTTGTGTGGTTTCAAATATAATTATTTCTACCCTTCCAAATGCTCTAAATAATGACTGAAAATAAGGCCTGATGATCTTGACATAGAACCTGAAAAGGAGAGAAAATTATAGATGTGAAAGGAATATTAGTAAACGCTTTCTATTAATACTAGGACATAACTCAACTAGCTCTCAGCACTCAATGCTTTTACGACAATAGAATACAAGATACTTATCATCCTTTAAACCTTCTCCACAAACTTCACAAGAGTCCTGACATTGAACTCATTTGTTTATCGACCGCTTTCTTTTAGGTACACAGCTTCTACATAAGCGCCATATAAAATTTTTACCCTCGGGGAAGTTTTTAACTTCCGTAAGAGCTTTCAGTTCTCCTAGGCCTTAAGATGAGATGTATCAATAACCTCTTTTATACAAAAACGACATACACTACAAATTGAATATATTCCATTCTTTTCAAACTTCCACACTCTTTTGTCAACTTAAACAAACTACATCATTCATTATTCACTAGTGCTATGTCTAACTTTCTTCCATTCCTCTATTATAACCCATTCTTTTAAACCAAGTAAATAGATAGCCTTGCATAGCCAGCCCCGCATCTTGAACGGCTTGCTGAAACCATTAATCAACCAATACGATCGCTCAATTCTACCTATTTTCTCTTCTAGTGACACAATATCATTAAAATCCCCACAATGCACCATGGTAAAGTAAATCTACTTGAAAGATGACAAATTAAGTTTCATGAACTTCTCCTATGGTTTTCTTTTGGATAGCCATAAAATTATGTTAGTCTCCACTTTCCACCTCTATTGTCTTTCACTACTATATCAATAAAGTTTCTGGAGTAATTTTGAATATTACAATTAGCTAACTTCTGCCACATAACTGCCACTCCACCACCTCGACCCTCTCGATCAACAATAAAACAATTATCAAAATCCAAGACATAACGCAGCTCTACAACTTTATTAGAATGACTTAACATTTCATACATAAATAATACATCTAATTTATAGTTCCGAATAAGGTATTTTAAATTAAAAATTGCGCTCGGGTTATCCTGTCCTAACAGTTCCAACTTATAATATTCATTTTTTTACTACAATACAATAACAAGATTAAGTTGCTTGACAATATCATTTCCATGCCGCTAAAGCATCAGTTTCCTAAGGGAGGAGCATATTGTTTGCAGCGGAGTTGTTCTTGGTAATAGAGGCGTTATTCGCTATTGCTCCGCCTTTAAAACACATTCCAGCATTATTCGAAATTGGCATTAATTTCCAATGGTTGATGAGATAGAATTCACATCTCATTAAGTTATTTCATTTAGTTCATCAAAAATTTTAAAAGAACTTTTAACCTTCAAAATAATAAACAGAAATAATTTACTTAAATTCAACTCTTTAAGAGTGTGCTTTTGGGAAGACTAAAATCCTCCCAAATAAATGTTAAGTTAATACCACAAATATTTAAAATATTCTTTTTTTTTTATTTTAAAATTATAATAGTAACAGATATACATAAAGTTGTCAAATAGATCGGCTCTGCTCAGTCTGCTTCGATTCGATGAGTCAAAGTGTTTAAATAAGTTAGTCCGGTCTGATCCGATTGTTTAATGCACTATAAAAATTGAGTCTAATCCGTTTTTCAAAGACCTGTGAAATTTGATGGATCCGTCCAACTCACATTTCAATATTATAGTTTTTATTTTATAAAAAAAATGTAATGGATAAAAACTAAATAAGATAAATAAAAAGTCATTATAAATTTAGTTAAATGATGTTTAAAATATTCTTCAAATCAACACCCATATATATATATATATATATATATATATATATATATATATA